TGAAGGCCAATTGAGTTCCTTCAAAACAGACTCATGAAGGCCACTTGAGTTCCTCCACAGCAGACTCATGAAGGCCACTTGAGTTCCTCCACACCAGACTCGTGAAGGCCACTTGAGTCCCTCCACAACAGACTCATGAAGGCCACTTGAGTTCCTCCACACTAAACTCAGGAAGGCCAATTCAGTTCCTTCAAAACAGACTCATGAAGGCCACTTGAGTTCCTCCACACCAGACTCATGAAGGCCACTTAAGTTCCTCCACACTAAACTCATGAAGGCCAATTGAGTTCCTTCAAAACAGACTCATGAAGGCCACTTGAGTTCCTCCACACCAGACTCATGAAGGCCACTTGAGTTCCTCCACACCAGACTCATCAAGCCATGTCTTTATGGAGCTTTGTGCACCGGGGCCAGTCATGCTGGAACAGAAAATGGTCCTCAACAAACTGCTACCAAAAGGTTGGAAAATTGTCTTTGTATGCTATAGCATTAACAATACCCTCTACTGGAAACACCTGAGCTCAATAGTTTGTAGGTATGTCCACATACCTTTGGCCATATAGATGGTGTGATGGTCAAGTGTCCACATACCTTTGGCCATATAGATGGTGTGATGGTCAAGTGTTCACATACTTTTGGCCATATAGAAGGTGTGATGGTCAGGTGTTCACATACTTTTGGCCAAATAGAAGGTGTGATGGTCAAGTGTTCACATACTTTTGGCCATATGGAACATGTGATGGTCACGTGCCCACATCTAAATTGGATTGTACAGAGATTGTAAAGCTGGCCATATACTATACCTTCTGATTGCACAATCTCCTTAGACCTAAGAACTATGAAGTGTGAAGACCTGTCTGAATTGATACCTATTTAATAGATCAGGGGTAGGCAACCTCGGCACTCCAGCTGTTGTGGAACTACAAGTCCCATAAGGCATTGCAAGACTCTGACAGCCAGAGGCATGATTTGCAGATCATGACAACATGTCACAACCTTTACATTTATTTATGACATTTATTAGGAGTTCAATTCATCTTATTTGGGTTGGGAAAGTCACATTTTGCTCTGTGCTGTCATAGCTCGCAGTCCAGGCTTTGCTGAGTGACGTTGATCCCTATTTTACGTCTGCGCCCTTCCGTTGTCTAAGGAGTCCATTGCTACGGTTTTTACCGGCAGGCGGTTTTGACAGCCACGCCGACCACTGAGCCAATATCCAGGCCATCAATTGGCTAAGGACCGCTGACATCATCAGTCCGCAGGAAATTGATAGGCTGAATTCTCTGGAATCCTCAACCTTATTACAAGCCACGTGAAACTTTGAAGAGGTTCTCCGGGAAACATTTTCGATCTCTTCTGTGATTTACACCTCCCATCTTAATAATCTCCACAGGAGATTTACATTTCTTCCCAAGCACTTGCAGCTCCAACTCTCTCAGCTCGACTTCCCCGAACTTCCTTTCTAGTACAAGATCACAAAGGAGAGAGCAATATTCAGCAGCTGTTCATCTACTAGCTTGGAGGAAGGAGCAGGGAACAGGGTTGAGGGGAGTGGCTTGCTTTGCTGTTCCTGTGTGTTTGTGGAGACACACACAGCTTACTAGCACACACAAGGGTGGCTCCATCGGATCCTGCAAGGGAAAGTAGCCACAAAACAGGATATCAGGATCAGTGCTCAGGGGACCAGCTGAGTCTGCAGTAAACTAAAACTTTTAAACATTAAGGAGCAGCGTCCATTGTAAGTGATTTCATCAGCATGTGAAATAGCTTAAAAAACTTTTGACTTTAATATCACTTTAAAGTGGAATAAAAGGCTAGACAGGAACCCATCTTTAAATATTGTCCCTCTAGTGCCCTGATATTCCCTGCATACCTTTTGGCCAGTGACCATAGCTATAAGGTGTGGTTGGCTAGGGTAGAGTTCTGCAGGATGCACCAAGCAAAAGAGATAGAGCCAGAGATTTGTGGTCATGTGACCGCATAGAGAACCCTTGAAGAAAAGGTATTTACATCCAGTATATAGGATAACGTGGTTAGGGAATATGAGAGCAACGGGGAGGCCGCCTTTAAAAGGTTAACTATGTCACCAGCCAGGGCCATCTTTAATATTAATTGGACCCTGGGCAAACATTTTCTTGGGCCCCTCCGCCCCCTACCCACTCCTCTCGCGCTATGCACTTTCCCTCTCCAAAAGAGCAGATAGGAGGAAACGTCATAGGGGTACGTAACCCCCGCGTCTAGACATCATGCGGGCGCGCTATGTGGCGTATAGCAGGGGAGGAGCAACACTATGCGATGCAGAACGCATAGTAAACAGAACAGGCTGCGCAACAATGACTGGGCCCCGGGCAACTGCTCCTTTTGCCCTGCGTTAAAGACAGCCCTGTCACCAGCACACCGTGATTCAATCTTCAAGCAGTGATCATTTTATTGATGCACACACACATCTTGTCACATTGCAACGTTTCAGGGCCACTCAGGGTCCCTTCATCAGGCATAATGAGGCACGTCATGCCTGACGAAGGGACCCTGAGTGGTCCCGAAACGTTGCAATGTGACAAGATGTGTGTGTGCATCAATAAAATGATCACTGCTTGAAGATTGAATCACGGTGTGCTGGTGACATACCTAACTATTTGAATCTGAAGCGGCGCCATCCGCAGTCACTGCAGCACCCACCACAAGGGACATACCGGTACATACTTCTGCAAGCCTTTAAAGGAGAACTATAGGGTCAGGGCTTTTCCCCATAGTTCTCCAAAGGGTAACGGGAGGACACAAACTAGCGTCCCCGCGTCACCCAAAGCTCAGTATACTGAAACACCGCAGCCGGAACGGATCCCAACAATTATGTCTGGATCCACCCAGCTGCGTGAGTGACAGCTGGCTCTGCCTATCTAGAGGCAGAGCCAGCTGTACCCGCCCCCTCCCCCGTCCGTTCCGCCAGTCATCGCTGGAGGAACGGACAGGGGAGGGGGGAATCCCTGCAGGGAGCCGTGAGTGACAGTCACGGCTCTCTGCACGGATAGATCGAGAAGTGAGCGAGCGACGGTATGTGTTCGCTCACTTCCTGATCTACTGAGCCAACCTGTGACAGTTTCATTGTCACAGGTCGGCTCAGATTATGAGGCTGAGTGAAAATCACTCGCCTCATAATTGTCCTTTAAGGCCTCATTCACACTGCCGCGCATACGTGCATATTTTCCCATATGCAAATAAATGGCTCCATACACAGCTGCGTATGGAGCCGTATATTTGCGTAGCGTAAAAATGCGCAAAAACAGAACGGAACCGAGATGCGTCCGGGCAGCATATTTTACGTGCATATACGTGTGTTTGCGTGCGTATACGCACGTACGCACGTACAGTTCATTAAAAATTCTATTACGATTTATGCATTCTGGGATTGCATATAGTGCACGCATATACGTACATACGCGCGCACATACACGTATATGCGCAATATGCAATTTTGCTCTTGCGTTGTGTGTGAATGAGGCCTAAAAGGTGGGTCATTGTGAAGCCTTTCCTTTCACTTCAAAGAGATTGGGACTACTTTTCCATCACAAAACATATAGAAAAAGTATTTCCAGGCAACTGATAAATTACAAATATTTACCTTTTTTCCCCCACCAAGATACCCAAGCATGGAAGTGAGCCATGTGCCCCCTTTTATTAGTTAGAAAGGGGGGCTAAGCACTGAAAAAGGAAAATATACTTTCTAAAGTATATGTCACTTTGCCCATCCGGATTCTCTTGTTAGGCTGGGTTCACACCTAGACGTATCGAATATGTGCGTTTGTCTCGCGTTTCTACCGCGATTCGCGGTAAAAAGACCGCGCGACAGACGCGCGTTTCGGAGGGCTACCTGGCTGTATACCAATGGATACGCGCGGCAAATACGCCCCAAAGAAGCTCCTGTACTTCTTTGGGCGTAGGGCGTTTTGTAGCGCGTTCATACGGCCTGTAACACACCCGGATGTGAACCATACCCATAGGAAACAATGGGATTTCGGTGTTTGAGCGTTTTGCAGAGCGTAGGAACGCGCTACAAAACGCCCCTTTCATGGCAGCATTGATCTTTGCAGTATAAATGCCACCTTAACTGTTCATCTGTTGGAGCCCTTGGAAATACCAGGTACGTCCGGTATAGGGGAGCACGTGACTTCCTCCAGTTATTCCCAGTATGCAGTGCTAGGTTCAAGCACCAGGTCCCATGGAGGGAGAAGGCTTACACAGGGATTAGATCCATGGCTCTGACAGTTGAACGGAGAATGGGAGGGGGGCAGCATAGTTGAGTATCAGTGTAGGGCAGTGGTTCTCAACCTGTGGGTCGCGACCCAAATGTGGGTTGCAAGCCACAGTTGAGGGGGTCACCATGTGCCTTGTGTTTTGCTAGGTAAAAGACTCCTTAGCCGCCTCCTAGCGCAGCAGTGGAAGTTCTCCTAGATGGCGCTGCAGCAGCGGCGCCCAGAGGGGATCTGAGAGAGGGGAGCAGGCAGGAGTGCCTGATCACCAAAGAGCCACACTGGGCACCACAGAGCCTGCACTGGGCGACACCATAGAGTCCCACTAGCTACCTGAGAGCCCGCATAGCCTCCTGAGAGCCCCCACAAATACTAATATTGGTGCATCCCTAAATTTTACCGTTGGGGGTCACCACAACTTGGCAAATGTTACCAAGGGGTCCCGGCCCTAGAAAGGTTGAGAACCACTGGTGTAGGGGGTGCCCTAACCAGAGAACCTCTCACTTTGCTTTTATGAACAATGTGACAGATTATCTTTCATTATGATTGCGCGATCCAAATCTGAGTAGCAACTGGTATGTGAAGTAAGCACAGGCAGTCAACTGCTAACTTCTGTGGGAAATGGGAGACTGGATGAGTTGAGGGCTGCAAGTTTTTGAGCATCTCTGCTCCATGGATGGTAATATTTGAAGTTTTCCTCCTTGGGTTTTTTTATACATATAATTTTGGAAGTCAGACAGTCCTTGTGGCGTTCTTTCTTTATTTGCAGACGCTCACCCACTCCGTGATGCGGCACTCCTCGCACACCACATAGCAGCACCAGTGGAATTTGCAGTTGCAGCGTTCGCTGCGTGTCTGCCGCAGGATGTTGTGCCCGCGGCCGCAGCACAGGCTCTCGCAGTTGTCCATTCCCGGGCTGGTTTTGTTGCAAATCCTCCCCTGAGTCCCCGCTGAGTCCAAATGCAGCTCCTGCTCGCAGAAGTCGGGGGACTTCTCAAAATACACCAAGTCATTAAAGCTGGCCCGTCTCCTATACGGGACCTGAGTCTGCTCCAGCTGGCCCAGCTGTCCATTGTTTCTGTTGTGGGGCCTTATGAGGGTGGCCACCGTGAACCTGTCCTTCAGCACAGAGCCAATCGTTCGAAACTCAGGGGTGACCTGCCAACAGGTCTTGAGCTGGCAGCTTCCTGATGTGCCGTGGCATTTGCATTTCCGTTTCATGTTGTCCATCACAACCTGAAAAAGGTAAAAAACAAAATAGTTAGAGGAGCAGCGACCTTAAAATATATTTCATTCCAACACTTTTTCTCTTTGGATAAAGTATAGAATGGTTAGAACCTATGTCAGGTGTTTTTTGTTGCCATACCAGTCCCCTTCAGGAGATTTCCCTTCACTTCCTGTCCCAGAGACACAAGAGGAAGTGGGAGGAAAACTCTCTAAAGTGAGGTACAATCTCCTCTGAGAATAATGGATCGGAGGCCGCGTCGTGATTGGTCTGATGGAAGGAAGTGCTCCAGATGCAGAATTCAGAACCGGCGAACACTTCCCACACACACCCCCCGCCTCCTCCCGTAGGGCCCCTTCATACCGGCGCGTTCTCTGAGTGGACTACGAAGTGCATTGTAGTGTGAGTTACAGCAACACAGTCTGTGTCCCCTTCAGGAGATTTCCCTTCACTTCCTGTCCCAGAGACACAAGAGGAAGTGGGAGGAAAACTCTCTAAAGTGAGGTACAATCTCCTCTGAGTCACCTGTCAGTGGAACATCTATCTCCATTGGTAGTTTTCCACTCCCATTCTGGTGACAACTAGGGTTTTGCTTGGGTTGAGATCGACCCAAGCTCATCCTAAACCAGAAGCTGGCATAGCTGAGCCAATCAGCTGCAGCCAGGGCAGTTCCTGCCCCACAGCTGCATGTAATAAAAGGGGTAGGATATTGGTGACATCATTGACCTTATATGGCCATGTTGTTCAGGCCAAACCCGAGCTCATCCTTAAGGTGGCCATACACTTTACAACCATCGCAAGACCTTAGTCTTGCGATGGTTGTAAAGTAATTAAAAAAACGTACCATCTGCCCATCTTGTACAGGCAGATCGTACTTGCGATCATCGCAAGCCCGCCCCCCTGAGGGGCAGGCTTCCGATGACCGCAATGCTGAACAGGCAATGTGCGCGTGCGCACACCGGCCCGTTCGGCATTTGTCTCCCGAGCACCGTCTCCCTAGTGTGCTCCTTAGACAAAAGACGTGCGACCGTACAGTAGAACGTCTTCATTCACACTACGTATGGTGTATGGGCACCTTTAGGGAAACTACCATTTTGGATTTCTGTCCTATAATAATGGTCATTAACACAAAAAGAGAGGTTCAATCTCCACAGAGAGGACACAAAAAAACATGACAGCGGTGCTCAACCTTCCCCATTATATTAAAAACATTAAAAATATTACTCAAAGTATAAGCACCCCCGCAGAGAGACAACATACATTCTTCTAGCAATGAAGGTTTTAGTGTATTTTGGAACTACGAAACAAACACTCCCCCTTACGGGCGCATAGCAGGAGCCCTCCATTGCATCAGCTCACCTTATCCCTTCCTGCCTGCTTCTCTAATCCATGCTATGGCTCTGCGTAAAAGCATGCTACTTTGAGGAGCGCATGAACCTGTCCTCCTACAATGCAGTCCTACAGCCGCAGCCAATCATCAAGTCTGAACACTGTCACATGGGGCAAGGGATTGAATCCTGTGTACGGGTGGGAGCCCGCCTCCCACCCGTACACAGGATCCGAAACCCGTACTGTCCGGGTGAAAACCGTACAGGTGGCAACCCTAAAGGGAACACGTGTTTCAGTATGCACGTGTCAGCTTTAGCAAACATCTAACATTTGCAGAGGGTCTTTGGGGGGGCACTTTAAAAGTCCTGCTGGTTCTGCATTTTGTGAAGCTGTCAATGAAGGGGCAATTGCATGACGGGTAAGGAAGAGCAGCTTTGGAGGCCAGTCGTGTGGCTGGAGGGAAGTGGACGGAAGGTAAGCAATGAGTTCTAATAGAACCCATGTAAACTATTAAGAGTTAAAATGTTGTTGATCCTAAAATTGGTGACTCCACTTATCCCTAATGTGAGATTGCTGGACAGGAAATCAACTTCCTGCCTCCTCTTTGGCAACATACAGATCTTAGATGGCAGTGAGACATAGGGGTCTATTCACGAAGCTTCACTTCTGATCGGTCATTCACTCGGCTGCCCTCGGCAGCTTCGTGAATAGACCCCATAGGGTTGTCACCTGTCCAGGATTCACCCGGACACTCCGGGTTGTGAATGCTGTGTCCGGGTTTAATGGCAGAGGAACCCGGACACATGATGTCATGCAGACAGGGGCAACAAAAATGAAGATAGGGGCTACTGCCCCTCAAGGAAAATAGTCTTAACTGTGATATTTACATATGAATGGGCGGCGCTTTTTACATATGAATAAGCCACGGCTCATTCTCCCAAAAAAATGTCTGCACTTCGCTAGAGTGTTCGGGTTTCGCTTGAAGAAAAGGTGGCAACCCTAGTGGGACTTCCACAATCCAACCAAAAGCCTTGTAGGACATCGGTTGACCGAGATATGAGCTTCTTTCTCACAATCTACTTTTACAGCCCGATGATCCAGGCTGAATTTTTTTTAAGACTCTCGGTGGGCCTCAGGTCTTGGTAGGCCATACGCCTGCTTGTTATCAAAAATGAGCCCAATGTTCCCGAGCATGCATCCCAAAAATTGACGGCTGTGAGGAAGATACGAGAGTCGGGCCGAGCGTTAGATCAACACAGTCTCCAGGTCTACAGTCTCGTTACCAATAATACGTTATTGATGCCGGAGATTAACTAGGATTTCTCTCCCCCGAGAAGTCAAAGTGAACTTGAAAGTGTCTCGGATTTGTTGACACATCCATCCAGCTTATTTTTATTGAGCTGTCTCCCCAGGGAGCGAAAGGGTTAACAGAATTTTTTTTTGCAACAACTGTCAATATGAGTCCTGGCAAATAAAGGGGAGGCTTAAAGATTTATGGAAACAAGCCTGGAGCTAATTGGTATGAAAGCCAAAGCTCCTCTGACAAGTTGTTTTCTAACAAGACTTACGTGCCCCGCAGGTGAAGCTCGAGGTCGCAGGTAGGTCAAGGAGGAGAAGGGTGAAAGGTCAGAGTGGAGTTATGCATGGAGTCAGATAGCTGGAGAGATGTTTTTTACATTGTGAAGAGGAGCTTTTAACAGTCTTCATCATGACAGGAAAAAAAAACATTTGTTTTGAAGGACATTTTTATAGCATGCAATATCTGAGATGAAGGCAGGGGGATTTCAGGTTGCTTCCTCGCAAAAGCCAACGTCAACCACAAATGAAAGTTCTGCTTGCTGGAGAATTGTATAACATGCCGGCCTCTTGTATCTCCTAAGAACTCCAACATAGCTCCCAACGGTTACCTTTGTGGAAGCCAACCCCTCTGCCCCTCTTGCCTCCTATCTTTCTCTTTGGCCTGATGGATCTCTTTATGTCATTTTACTATTTAAAGTAGAACTTCGGCCTTCTATTTCAAAAAAAAAAAAAAAAAATGTGTTGCAGCATTTATTATAAGTGCGTATGCATTTACAGGGTTTTTTTTATATAAAGGGGAAAACGAATGCAGCCACCACATCTAAGGACTGGTAAGCTTGTTTTTGGATTCACATACACTTTACAGTGACATTAAACCCTCAGATTTTTTTACATAAACCAATACTGTAATGTGTGCCTTTATTGTTTTATGTTAAAAAAATCTGAGGGTTTAATGTCACTTTAACTATCCAATGTGCCATATTTCTTGAAGCTTTTCATTAGAGGTGCACCAAAATGAAAATTTATAAACCAAAACGAAACCGATTGCGTGTGCATTAACGATTCCGGCTTTTGTGAATTGCATGTTTCAGCCAGTAAAATAAAGAGTGGTAAAATAAGGATAGATAAATTAACTTCTACTCTCATAACGCTGAGCTTTGTGAATTGACCCCTATGTCCTCAAATATCTACAAACACTCAGCGATCACGGATCACCGACTGCTTGTACCCGCTCTCCTTCCTGACTCTCTGTCACAGGAGGCTGAGCGGTGCGGGGAGGAGAGACACCAGCCACTCACAGCGCTCTCCTCCTTCAGCGCTCGGCCGCCTGCAACAGTTTCTGAAAGAATGGATGGACTGCTGTATCGGCCAGAAAATGGCACTTTCGGCATTAGAACAAAAGCGCCATTTTAGGCCGACATGTTTCGGTGCATCACTACTTTTCATCCGACCTATACATTTTTGCATTCGTCTCTTTTCAAATACTCGAATGCTGGAAAATCAGTGTGTTTTGGACATGTGCGATTCATTTTGTTCTGAATCAAAATTCAACGAATTTTCTGAAATTCTGACATTCGGACACATCCAAATGTGTCCGAATCCGAATTTCCGTTTCTGAATTTCATTCAAAAATGAAACTGAATCGAGCATGTGACTTTTCTGGCCAATCAGATGTGTTTTTAGTTTAATGCATCGGAATGGGTCTGAACACGAATTTCCGTTATGGCAACATGGGAGCCATGTAGTATATGGCTCTCATGTTGCCGTAACGAAAATTTGTGTGCACTATATACATATAATACTAAAGCTGAGGCTCATAGACCCAAATGGCATTCAAGATCCGAATTTCCGAATTACATACGGGAGCTCCCGAATGCCATTCGGGTCTGGGAGCCCTATACATATATTACTAAACCTGAGGCTCCCAGACCCGAATGGCATTCTGGAGCTCCCGAATGTAATTCGGAAATTCGGATCTTGAATGCCATTTGGGTCTGGGAGCCTCAGCTTTAGTATTATATGTATATGGGTCCCAGACCTGAATGGCATTAGGGAGCTCCCGAATGCAATTCAGAAATTCAAATCCCGAATGCCATTTGGGTCTGGGAGCCTCAGCTTTAGTATTAATATCTGTATATGGTTTTCTGTGGTAGTCGTAACAAATATTCGTTAAATTATCCAAAACGAACAAAAATCCGTATTTCATCCGAAGAATTGAATTTCGGATCCGAATTCCGAAATAACAAAATATCCGAAACAAACCAAATTTTTCAGCAGCTTACATGTCTAGCCCCAATACCACAACCCAAGGATCTAAAACCTGTGATTTAGGTCCTGTGTCAACCCTCACTTTAATGCTTTAGGTTACACAATGGTAGCTGCT